GGGGGGGGGGGGGGGGGTGAGGAGATCGTCGAACGAATATAGGACGTACAGTATTGGCGGAATGTGAGTCAGAAAATATGCCCCGTCACCACTTTCAGGCAGTTGCTATCGAGTACCCTGAGATCTTCCACCCCCTGCAGCCAAATACCTACTTATAGACAGATGTAGGCCGTTTCGGCTAAGAACGGTCCAGCATGTGTGCGATCATTTACGAAATGAAGATTTGACAGCCACGCGAAGAGCAGGCAAGCGCTGGACATGGTTCGACGAGGCGTAGGAACAGCACCGTTTGCCGATCGTCTTAATTTGGTGCTAGTGTACGCCCCTGGAAGCAAGGGAGTGTCTCTCCCCGCCCCACGCGCAAACAGCTAACACTGTTGTACGGGGTTGACATCTGCCAAGTGAGGCGCCTAAGTACTTTCACCCTCCAAAACCGCGCGGGGGGGGGCTGTTCCCAAAACGCAGTAGAAAACTCACTCATCGTCGTCCTTGAATTCGATGCCCTCTTCTTCCTGCGACGACCGCCTTCGTCTGGCCGACTTAGGCCGAGACGATTTCTTTTTCGCCGCGGCACTTTTCGGCCTCGAAAACCGTTCTGTGAAGAAGAAGAAGAAGAAGAAGAAGAAGAAGAAGAGAGAGAAAGAGAGAGAGAGAGAGAGAGAGAGAGAGAGAGAGAGAGAGAGAGAGAGAGAGAGAGAGAGAGAGAGAGAGAGAGAGAGAGAGAGAGAGAGAGAGAGAGAGAGAGAGAGAGAGAGAGAGAGAGAGAGAGAGAGAGAGAGAGAGAGAGAGAGAGAGAGAGAGAAAGAAAGAGAGAGAGAGAAACAAGAGCAGGGAAGACATTGCTCGTTCGTTGCTTATTGCTTGTGACATTCATGAGAGATGGGGGGCGGGCGGGGGGGCGAGAGAGGAAACGGGGGCAGACCAGGGGCAACGCACAAAAAGACTGGGCGGCGCCGGGGGTGCATCGCTCAAACATCTTTTTCATGACAGAACAAATTTTCGTTGTGTAGACTACAGCATCACGAAGAACCCGGCTCGTGTGCCCCAGGCGCTCTCGGGTCGTTGTTCAGACTAACCTTTTGCCGCGAATTCGAGATTGTTCTTTGGTCCCCCGAAAGCAAATGGGTTCTTGGAGGAAAGGGGGGAAAAGTCCGTTAGAACAGAACGCCCGGCTCACCTCCCCCAGCTGCAGAATCGCCGGCACCGGCTCCACCCCCCCTATCCCCACCTCCTCCCGAGTCATCGGGGCCGTATTGCAGGTAGGGCTGAGGGGGCGCCGTATCTGCCACGGTGGAGAAAGTCACCTCCTCTTCATCTGCGTCAAGCGGCATCACCACTGCCGGCTGTACTCGCGATGTCTGTAAACAAACGCAGCAGGAGCAGTGCCATGCGGTAGGTAGTGGTGTGTGCAAGGTGACGCGATCGGACCGACCACACATACGCCCTTTTTGGGGGCTTTGCGTGGATTTCCGTACGGAGGAAGCGCGTGCTGTGCAACAAACACGCCACACAAACACATCGCACGCCATGCCGGTACACTCTGTCTAGCCATAGGAGCCCTCCTGATTCCGTCGGGCGTTTGGCAATGGCGAGATACTGTTGGTACGTTTCTATCAACGTGGCAAATCTGTTGTTCACGTAACGAATAGATGGAACGAGCACACACATGCTATGCAACGGGTCGAGGGACCGATCGTATACAAAAAATGCGGCAGGTTTTGCGCAACATTACCGTGTGCTCGAGGTCTCAGCTCTGTTTTGAGTCAAAGACCTCGTCAGAAACAAACACAGTCATGGACAAGGACAACACGAGCACCACTACCACCACCATCACCACCACCATCACCACCACCGACATGACGACCAACCACCTACACGGCAATCCCTCCTATAACCGCACAAGATCAATCACCACCTGATGCTCGTCAACACTCAACACCCACCATGCTGGGACCCTCGTACTCCTGAGTAGTGCGCTCGGGCATGTCGAGATCTTGGGCGATGATGTTGTCGTACTTGTACCTTCAAGGCGACAAGCGCGTGCGGAGCAGGCGATGTAGATTTGACGGGTTGGTTGGAGGGCAAACGTGAGAAGGGAGGGGGGGGGTGTACTCATAGCCGTGCATGCGTAGTCGTTAGACCGTTGACCTCGCACCCCTACAAACCGGGACGGAGCGATATGCCCGATTTTCACCGGACCAGGCTATCACATCACCAAGCACAAAACGCCGTGAGGTATTCGGTGAGTCGCATGGAGGGTGCGCTGCATCCTGCTACGGGTATTCGGGGGCGGGGGGGGCGAAACTGATTTTCCGATACCCTTTTAAATGAGCTCGAGCCTGTGCATGGTCGGCGGCGGCGGCCGATTCCAACCGCCAACAGTACCCGTTCGGGGTCTCCTGGGGCTGGATAAAAAGCACCTGCAAAACTTCCGGTGGAGAAGTGTGGTCTCAAGCACTCCATGCCCCCCTACGGAGTTCCAAGCGTGCCGGCTGCGGTGCCGGCGCGCAGAGTACACACAATACCACGCCGCACACACTTACACACCTGGGGTTTGAATCGTACCCTTTCCTATGGCGAGCGTACTCCGTCTCCGGCCGGGGCAGCCCCGCGACGCTGACGGGCCGCCGCATGCGCAGGGAGTTCCCCGCGAGCTCCAGGCGCGGGATGAGCCAGGCCGACGCCTCCTCGTTCCACTGCGCGCGGCGCTCGACGCTGGACACCTCCTCCGGGGGCACGAAGTTGGTGATCACAACCTTCGATCACAAGGGAAGAGGAAACCGGGGGGGTGTACTCATGTAAACTCATGCCTTCGTCGGTGGACCATTGGCCTCACATGCCCGGACAGAACGAGAAAAGGGAGGGGCGGGGGGGGAATATAAAGGGCGGGGGAGGTCGAGGAGGGGGGAGGCGGTGGTTGTCTTCTCTCGTGGCGCGAAACTCCAGGTGGCGGAAGGATACACCGCTTGTGTCCGGTTTTTCTGTTCGCATGGTTTTCCGATGTTCGAGGTGTCAACGTGTGCGATTTCATGTACCTCATTTCGGTACGTACGTGCTTGGCGTGCCATCCGTGCCACAACCCCGCAACAACAAAACAACATTTCTGCCTTCAATGCCCTTCCCGCGTCCCTTGCCTCAGCTACCTGTGAGGAATGTATTCCTCCATTTGGAGGTCAAGGCGACGCAGATCGAAAAAACAAAGGCTTGACAAACCTCCTTCAGCTTAAGCTGTCTCGTTAGCTCTCGAATGGTGTCGAGCATGTCGGACCTCTCCTGCTGGAACTCCTCCTGGATGTCCTTGATCTCGCGGTGCGCCGTTTGGTACTTGCTCCACAGCTTCTTGAGCTTCTTCGTCTTCACCTCCACCTGAGCACGCGAGAACGTCGATGACCCGCCGCGATTTTAGGGAAAAGTGACGATTAGTGCACAGCGGACTACCGGTATGGATTGTTGGCACAACAAGCGCGGGATGAACAGCTCAACCTCAGCATAGCGGTTTTCATACGCCAAGAAAAAGCCTGTGTTTTTGTGTCGCTTGCTGTATGCCTTTAGAGCGGTGCGATCTAAACAACCGCCTACGGCGGTTGGTCTCTACAGCATGCAGAGCTTAGCTTGCAGAATACTACTGCACTCGCGTGTGCCGTAAGTGAAAATACGCCACCCGCACGCAACGTTAACGCGGTACAGAGTTGCGCACGTACCGGAACGATAAGTACACACCGCAGTGTATGCTTCATCCCTCTGAAAAAACGTCCATATCATATAGTTAACGAAGTAGTCACCACTGATCACCCGCTCTACGATGATGCGGGCCCACGGACTGTGAATGTTCATCCCACCAGTGTTGCGACGAACGCGCGCAGCTACGTTCAAGACTGGGGCAGGCTGATTGCGGCTGGGTGAACGGAACCGTCCGTGTTCGGCGGCCTCAACCGCACCTCTTCTTCCAAGTCGTGGAACTCGCGATTGAGCTCGGTGATCCCTTCCTCTTTTTCGGCTAGCTCTCGAGCCTAAAGCGCGTGGAGGACGAGTGCACGAAACCGCGAGAGGGCCGGATCAACTTTCGCGAGACAAGGAAACAAAAAATTTCAGAAGGACGGGCACCTCAAAATGAGGTAGGGTGGGTAGGGTGGGAAGGTAGTCACAGGGAAAAGCAAGAGTCTCACAGCCTCAGAGCGCTTCCCCTCCCCGCGACCGCCTCTGCCCCAAATCTCTTGCGCTCCGTCTAACGCGTGGGCTTGCGTCACCTTGGACCCTTTCCCCACTAGTGAAATTATCCCTCAAACTGATTAGTGAGATTTTGCTCGTAGAAGCAACGGTGCTCCGTCTCAAACGCGTGAGTGATCAGTGGTAAAAACAACGAAGGTATTGCCCGCCCCGATTCCCCCGTCCGTATCGAGCGTTCCTCGTCGTTCGAATGTTTTTGCCGCAACAACTGCGTTGTTGCGGGCGATGCGCTGATTTTGGGCGAAACAAGCGAATTCGCAAGAGACAGAAGATAGCAAGCGAGGGCGCTTGTCCCGTCAAATATCCGAGGCCACGAAATAGCGCGAAATTTTGCCCACGGCCGTGAGCTACCATGACTCCACTCCCGTAAAGGGCCCTGCGATTGATGGTCTCACAAGCGAGGTCTCCTGGTCTCTTCGGTGCTCCAGCTCGTGCTGTGCCTGTCGTAGCTCCGCCTCTTGTCTCTGAGCCTTGTCCAGGATTTCTCCTCCCTTTTATCGTTTGTTTTACGACAAACGGCAACCGGTGGTGCAGTGCGGACAGGGGGTGGAGGCCGTATCCGAGGGGGGGGTAAGGTAGGGGCTGATGGGGGTGCAAGACGGAAACTGTTAAGATATGACATTCGACAACGTTTGGTCGATGGAAGCTCAGTGTGGCAGCAAGGAGTCAATGCTGGCTCACCGGAACCGAAGCAGCAGTTGGAGAATCAAAGCCAGCCAGCAGCAGCAACGGCGACGTAAACGCACCGCCAGTGGCAGCAGGGTACAAGGGTCGCGATACCCCCGCCACAAGTGCTGTCACACACACCGTACCACCAGCCCGGGAACCTCACGCATCGATGCACAGCTAGCTCCCCAAAGTTACGACGACCACGTACAAACTCCACGCCTGCAAGTCAATGCCACACTACCACCATTCACGCAGACCACGTGCAACGCGTTTGTTTTGCGGTGCCCTTTCTCCTTCTCCCCGCTGGTGCCTACTTGCTTGCCTGGATGAGCTTGGCCTCCATGGCCTGAAGCTTGCCCAGGAGCATCCCCTTGGTCTTCTCTATCTTGCGCCTCTCTACCGCCTCGCTCTCGAGCCTCTCGCTCAGGGCCTGCCGTTCGTCTGCGGTCTTGGCGTGGGCGTCGAGGAGCTTCTTCATGTCTTCGGCAGCCTATTGATGGAGGCATAGCAATGCGGCAAGTGTGCACGTTTGGACCCACATTGGTACGTTTTCCTTTCCATGATAGCATGTGTAGAGCACGCAAAGCAGGGTGCTCGGAGCCGTCGGGCATTTGGTCACGGCGGTGGACTCGAGCGAGAGTCACCGGGGGGGGGGGGGCGTACTCACATGTTTTGCATGCCTTAGCGGTTAGGCCATCGGGGGGGAAGGGGGGATCCCATGCGGCAAAGAAGGGGCGGTAGCGGTGCCCAAACGAGCCTCGAGAACAATAGGCGTATTTGTTTGAGATGACTGGGGTGTGATCGATCGATTGGTTGAACAACAATCGCTTGCCGCACGGTTGACCCCTGCTCCTACCACTTTCACGCCCTTAATATACGGCTATCATACACGGTGCTGAGCCAAGCAGGTGAACCGCTCGCTGTGTTCAAAGCGTGGGGTAGACGGCAGTAGTCTGGGGGGTGAGTTACTGGCAACCTAGAACTCCATTCCTTGCACACCCGTCCATTTTAAGCATGCTCATCATGCCTCTACAAAAACCAAGAGCCCGAGTTATGCCAAAATCGGGCCGATAAAGTAGAGCGCGTCACACAAGTGCCCAGGTGCACCTGCTGCTTGAGCTGCTTTTCTCTGCGATCGGCGTCGTCCTGCAACTTGGTCAGCTCCTCCTCGCTCACCCCCACGACCTTGGCTCCCTGGCCGCCTCCGAGCGATCCGATGACCTGGCGCGACGTGGGTGGTGATGGATGGCGAACAATGTGGTGCGTCTATCGACAAGGGTCCTTCAGAAGTAGAAAAGTTCAGAACTAGATCAGTATTAGTTCAAGCCTGAAATTTGACCCCTTTGCTTTATCTGGAGGAGGGGGAGGGGCGCGAGCAATGTCTGTAGTAAAATCAATCAGGTCATTCGGCGGTGTCATCAGTGAGGAAGGAAACCAAACATGCGTGGAAGGAGGAAGCTATTATAGCTCTCCCTTCGGGATGCAGCTTGCGCACCCTTCTCCGCATGCGACGTTACTCGCCGCGCGCGGCGGAACGCGAGAAGGTGGGGTGGGAGCACCAGAATTGGGCGAGATTGGTTCTTCGGGCATGTTTTCCCTGAAAGTGTAGTGGTGTGTGACATTCGTGGGCGTACCTGCCCAGATTCTCCGTCTCCGTCCACAGCACCGCCTTGCCCAGCCAGCTGGTCTTTGAGTCGCTGGATCTCCTCCTGGAACCTGTGGAGGGCAAGAACCAAAAGTGTATAAATATCATCATCATCAATCATTTAACGACGACCACGGCGACGGTGACTGGTAAAGCACACGATGTACCACAACACAGACGGACGAATCCAGTCGGACACGACCTCGATCTAAGAAGCAAAACCGTCCTCAATTCTATACTCATGAGTAGCTGCTTCTCGCGTCGGACACCAGATTCCATTTACCACAGCCAACCAGCCCTGCAAGGGGTGGGTGTTGTTGTACAGCAGTACCCCATGCTGCTCCTTGTTTTCTTCGTGGTCACGAAGCGAACAAACCGACTTGTCTGTCGCATCCGTACACTATCTATATTCTTGCAGTAGTGTGATGCCCGACTCGCAGAGCTCCCCAACCCCTCCCTATCATCCCTCAAGCCCACGTCTACGGCTGCAATAGGGGGGGTAGCCCCCGCTATCATGCTTCATCCACAAGGACACCCGCTTCTTCGGCCACTTACTCTCGCAGCATGGCATCCTTGGGGTCTTCGTTGATCTTTGGCTTGTTCTTGATGTTCTTGGCGCGGTTAGCGTACCTGCCCAATCCCCGATGAAACAAGGAGGCATGATACAAAGAAGGGGAGGCGTCTAAGCGTCATTGTTGCAAGCACTGCTTCGACACTGGTGGCAAGACTAGCGTCGTTGCTGATTGCCAACCTCATGAGTCGGTTTGAGGCCAGCCACAACCGCTGGTAGCGGACTCGGACGACGTGATTGCAGAATCAGTAGGAGGTCGGGGAGACATGTTAGCCATCCGCCCGTCCGCCCGTCCAGACCCAGCCTTCCCATCCAGAAAGCAACCAATTCGTGGCTGGTGCACACAAATAGTTACAACTCGAAGGAGAACACAGTTTTGATGATTCCCGAGGCTTCTGGCGAGGACAGAGCACCGGCGCACCTCAAGGTTGAGACGGTTTCGTCGTAGTTGTACTCCGCAGGCCCGGCGTTGGCGCACATGACGGTCTTCGTGTTTCCTCCCAGGCTTTTGTTTCAAGAAACGCGGGGTTACGACGCGAGTCACGGAATGCATGCGACAAGACGGACGCGCGAGAGCAGACGGGGGAGGCGGGGCGGAGCGAGCGAGAAAGAATATTGACACGTGGGTAGATCGGGGGTGACGGGGTGGACAACTCAAAATACTGCGAGAATCGACACAGCCGGCCACCAGCAATGATTGGACTCCGGCGTGCCCAACGCCTCGATTGAGTCACAAACGCAGCGAAACAGGTTTCTTCATCGGTCGGGGCCTCATTTGTACGGATATTTTTCATGTCGATAAACACCGCACATCAACCGACCCATTGCCGCCTGCATGAATGTCATCACTTCTCGATTGCTGTCTCGCCCTTCTATGCACGTGCACTACAGAGTGTGCATAGTATCCCCCCGATGGGCCTCCAGTTATGCACGACAACAGCGTGCCTTTCATCAGTGCGTCTTTTCCAAGGACACCATCCTTTTAATAGTCCGACAGAATCTCACGTCGCTCTCAACAATTGTGTAGTTCCATAGCTGTCTGTAACGCAGTCTGTACCCTGATCACATACTACCAACGGAACGAGGTCTAACCATCCTTGCGTCTAGTGCTACCCTTCTGTGCGAGACTGTACTGCGGTGCCTTGTTCCCTGTACATGTACCTGTCCTGCAGGAGCCGCGTCAGCTTGGAATCTCGATAGGGAATGTGGAGCGACCTCCCGTCCACGAGTGCGCTGATGACGTTCCCTAGGGCGGAAAGGGACAAGTTGATCTTGTTCGCCTCTTTCAGCCTGGTGAAACGAGCGAAAGAACCAGCAGCAGCGGTCGGCCGGCCCGTCCAAGATCAGCATCAAGAGAAGGGGACACGGGTGGTGAGTTCGTGCGTTTTGCCGACGGGGGCTTGATGATGAGGCGTTGGAGGTGATCACTGCTTTTCCATCTCTAATGAGGCGTTCAACGCCTGTTGTAGTGGTAGCATGAGTTACCACGCGATCGTTGGCGGTGGGTGATAAGCAACGACGGCCATGTCGGCGACAATGACGACTAGAACCATGTTTCGTTCATGAGTGAAGGTCACACAGCCGATACCCTGGTGTTGGTTCTAGATTTACGCGGGGCAGAATGCCAGGGTAAGGCACGAGAAGAACATCATGATCTTGATGCAAGGAATGGTCAACATCGTAGAAGCTATTGAAAGATTACGACAGGCAAACATGGCATCCCGTCCATAGGAAGGAGGGGAGACTGCCTGACGTCATCGCACCCGGATTGTACGAAGCAGCAACTTCTTCGCTCCATTTTCCTTTTCATCACATGCTCTTTGGCCGTTCGCAACATATGGGGCGCTCCTACCACTGTCCACCCCCTTTCACCCCCCCCCCGACCCCCAGAGATACTAGTACTCCAAAGAGAAACAACACTTACACGAAGTATGTTGGTATTGACATGTTGTCGTCGTGGGGCGAAGACGGGAAAAGGAGGAGGAGGAGCTCACCTATCCCCCGTCGCGCCCGTCTTGCTCTGCCGCTCGGAACCCGCCAGGTCTACGAGGTTGAGCTTGCCAACACGGATGTGGTCCCCGCGATCGTCGCTCTGGCTGCACTCCACGACGATGCAGAAGATGGAGTGGCTTCTCGAAGAGGTGAGGTTCATCATCGTCGACCCCACCGATCGATTCTTCTTGCCGGCCTGTGTGACGTTGGTGTGGGTTGTAGCGTAGCGCCGGATTCGTGTTGGTTAGAGAGAGAGAGAGAGAGAAGCTTGAATTGCCGGACAACATAAAAGACAACGACGGCCATCTTCAGTGTTTGGGTTGGTCGTCGTTGACGGATGTTGGTGAATATGGAGGTTTGCGTGTACCTTCATCTACTTTGATTTCGCACGAGGTGAGGACTTTTTGCTCTGCCAAAGAGCGAAACCCGGAGAGGAAACTCAAGACGATAGGGGGCGATCTCCCCGCCTTCTCTTTGTGAACAACATCACCCGGTGGGAATATTCCCATGGACCTAGGTACACAAAGGGCGCCACACACAGGCGTGCGTATATTACGCCTTTGGCCGAAGAAACGAGGGATTACCGTCAACCACAACGGCAGAAGGTCCACCAATACCGTCACTCAAGCAGGGCCTTCTATACACAGCCATGCACTCGTTGTGCCGAGCGCAGATAGGGGCGTTGCAACGTACCTACAAGGAACAGATATTGGGAGCGGGGGCGGGAAGTTGGGGGCATCTTGCGCAAGAACGACCCGGGAGGAAATAAAACACCGAACGAAAATCCAAACACGCAGCAAAGGGCGATCTGTAAAGTCGAATACCTATGGCACGACCTCATAGACAAGGGCTTGCAACGTTGGAAGGTTGGATATCTCCTTATGTCGATCGGTACACCGCTCTCACCTGCATAACGTGGTCTATTTCCATCGCGCTCTTGACCACGAAAGTCGTGAGGTCCTTCACGTAAACTCCGCTGTCCACGTTCTCCTTCAGCTCGAGCTTATCCTTGGGGTCCTGCATCCCGCCGAGGAATTCCCAACGAGGATGAAACCACAACCAAGAAACCCAACCGAGGAAAGGTGGACGCGCAGGTGGACGCGCTTTGCTCAGTCGCAGGCGTTGACGAGCAGAAAAAAAGGGTAAGAGGTTTCAAACTTCTCCGGAGAAGCCATGAGAGCCGCCCCACGATGTGAGGACAGGCGTTTAGCAGGTGTTGGCAGAGACATAGTGGCTCCCCAAGGTATGCCTTCGAACATGAGCAGTGACCAAAAACCGGTGTCACCAAAACTACGGGTGGTTCGTGGAAGTGAAAATCATGTACGTTGGGGAAACAGGACTGCCCGTGGTTCAAATACGCAGTCCACATCGATCTGAACCTGGACGTTATCATTGCAACCATACCATCAAGAAACGTCTCAGTCTACCTGCACGCTACAGGGCCCGCCGTCTGTGTCGGTGACTGGACTACGAGATGCGATCACCGAGCAACGCCGATGTACGGGAAGAAGAGGGTTAGAATAACAACCTTCTGCAGCGCACAGCCCTTACCTTCGACAACAGATCTCGGATCTCTTCGTTGTAGATTTCGAGGTAGCTCGCCCGCACAAGGTACTGCACGTTGTCCGCGAGGGCTATCTTGTCGAAGATGTGCTGCAAATTCAGCGCAGTCCGCCACGTTTGGCAACGCCAACAAAGTTTACGTCGACGTGGTACTAAATAACGCGAGGGCACGGTAGTGTGGAGCAAGCTTGGCATGTGCAGAGTGTGTACTGGTAATCTTGTGGGAATTCGCCGTCAGTTGTGACTTCATGTGCGCCCTCATTGTCTACGTGGGCGGTATGCGAGCAAATATGGGGTGGTTTTGGTGAAACTATCTGAGTTGGATAGTTTCTTGCCCCGCCAGCTAATACTCCAGCTAAGTTTGAAGAAGATACAGAAGAACGGGTTGAAAAACTTGAGCTCCGCGATACCGTGATAAGAATAGAGATATCTTGTCGGGGTGTGTGATTGTGGGAAAAGTTTAAAAGCCAGCTCTTGCAACTCTCTTCTCCTGTAGTCCCATGCTATCGGTGCTATACGGACGTGTGAAACAGTTACCAGTTTCCCAAGAACGCTGAGTAATCACTCAACGCTGCTGTCTATGCCCTGATTCATGCGGCGGTAAGAGCGACGAGAGGGGGCTGGTCAAGGACCTTTTGTTGGTGTGCCCTACAGTACTTCACCCACGCCTGCCGGTTTTTCATGTCACACATACCTCGAAGGATTTAGGGATGATTCCCCTGAGCTCCGGCGGGTCGGGATATCCTTCCATCGTGTGAGTCTTGCCTGCGCCAGTCTGACAACAACGAATTAAAGCAGTACCCGTCGTATGTTCTTGATCATGAAGTCAAGGGTTTCTAGGGGCGGGGAATGTGGGCTATATTGTACCAAACAACGATTTCAGGGTATTGTTAAAACGCGAAAACTTCCACGCGTCTCCCAGGAACTTCATGAATGGACCAATTTTTCAGCAACAGAAGTAGTGCTGCCTGGTTGTGTGCTGTATGTAAATAATCTGAAGCATGCACCACACGACACCATACAAGCAGAGGAGACCGCCTTGCAAGTGAGGAAGTGCAGACAAGGAGGCACGAGGGTGAATGTGCACAAGAACCTCGAGGTCTAGACTAAACTGCGCTAGGGCTCACCTGGCCGTACGCGAAGATCGTTCCGTTGTATCCTTGCAAGACCGACTCCACCAGAGGCGCCCCGCAGACCTCATAAACCCGCTCCTGAGCAGACCGGTCACCGAAAACGGCATCGAAGAAGAAGCTCTTGGGGGGCTCCCGCGCATCGGCGCGCGGATTGCGCACGACGATCTCCCCCCTGTCTTCCTTTGCCTCCGCAATCCTGTATGTCACGAACAAAACGCGCCCAGAAGAAGAGGTGAGAGGCCCGGCGGTCGTCGTGCGGCAAGAGAGGACCACGACGGAAACATTGAAGAAGGGTGATGCTCGTGAGATGAGGTCCAACGCGGCCGGGGCCAGCGTGAGCACGTACCGTAGTCTATATCCTACGCCGTGCGGGCCGGTTGCCCGTGGCCGTGTTCAACTGAAGGAAATAGAGGGCAATGTCCATCTTGCTGCAGCAGTGGCTGCAAGGCATTAACTGAACATGCTAACAATACCGCCCGTACATGTAGTCTACTGCTGTTATGGCTGTTTGTGTGATGGTGCTCTTGTACTCAAGTAACGTCAGCTGTGTGTGTATGTGTACCACAGCAACCATCTACGTTTATTTCATGAAGTACCAACTGAAGAGCAGCTGTGGCTATATCTGTTGCTGACACCTCTGCCTCTGGCGAGCACACCGCTACGCTGCTACTGCTGTATGTACCAACGCGGTGCTGCTACTACAGCAGGTGAGCAAGTACGTAACGCTGACATTAGGGGTCGTCCATCCGTTGCACCACAACGCGTGAAGAACTTGGGAAAGAGTAACATGTAATCATCATAAGTTAATCATCGTTACATACACCAGCGCAGTAGCAGCCTCCCTTGACTCACGCCTTGTGTCCATCCTGAAGCTCCTTCCGGCTGAGCGGCCGGATGCGAACGACGACCTTCACGCACTCATCCGACTTCGGCTCCGACGTTGGGTTGGGAGGCATCTTCGACGGCGTGCGTGTCCGTGCGTCCGTTTGATATCTGTATCTATAAGGCGCTCCTTGCGTTCTTTCCAACGGTAAAAGTGTAAGGTTTACGTGAGACGAACCACCCGAAGAGTTGGTGTGATCTTTGTGAAAGGATCCAACCATAAAAAGATCCGCAGGTGGCAGCCGTGACCGTTTCCTTTCTCACAGATCAGGCCGCATTTCTACAGGTAGGTACCCTTCCAGCACCGTTCCGCTCAAAGATTCCGCGTTTGTGGCTTGTGGCCGCTCTGCTGTGGCAAATGTTGCAGCATGAAAAAAAATTGTCTTGGGTGGGAGGTATGCATACAGCACTTCACCTCGGGTGAATGGTGCATCCGAACTCAATCAGCGTCCACCGAAAGGACTCCAAAAACGCACTCGCTCAAGTCTTCTCCTCGACCGGCAATGTCCCTGGCGTTGCCTGCATTTCTTGTTTTTTTGTGTGTCATCTCTCCCAAAAAAACGGGCCGGAGACATACCAACCGGCCATAAAAAAATAAATAATAATATAAAAAGAAAAAATAGGAAAATAGAGAAGAAACAGCAGAGCGCGGACCCCCCCAAAACGGCGGATCTTTCCGAGTGGTATCCCGTCGGCTGACTCTCTCTCCATCTATCTCTCTCCACGCTGCAGCAGCAGCCCAGCCCAGACCACGACTGCTTGTACACACACACAACAAACCAAAGCACCGATCCATCTCTACCCAAGGAGGATGACGGTGGACAATTCGCAGTTCGCGCCCAGCGATGTCATCGTCCTCCAGGCGGCGACGGCGGCGGTGGACACGGCCCCGGCGTTGGCGGCGAGCCCCCTCGAGAGCGGCAAGCGAGCAGCGAGACGAAGCTCGGATCTGGCGATGTCCAGCGACAACAAGGTGTGTGCGTCTCTTTCGAAGCCTGCAGGGCTTATTTTTGTGTAGGACCCCGCGATATTACACAGCAAGCTGTGCTCTCTCTTGAAGTTGTTGGCGCGTGTGCACCAGAGAGAGACAGAGAGAGATGATGGGCTGCACGATGCACGTGTGTGAGGAGGACGACGTGTGGGGCAGGTGGGGCAAGACGGCCGGCTTGGTTATCTTTGCTCGTCGGAGCGTCGTGGGGCGCTTGTATCCGCCTCGCTCTCGCGTTGATTTTATTTTTGTTTTTTCGGCGTATCGTGGAACGAACCACAGCAGCAGCAGACCAGGAAAAAATTCAGTGATCAGATCGAGTGAAAACATAGAAAAACGCGCGCGAGAAACGGCCCGCACTCTGAACCGCGGCAGCTGTTTTTTTTGCCGGGCTTGTCCCTGCTGCGGCCCCTCGTGGCGTGTCCTCCCCCACCGCCACACTCCTATCACACCAACACACATACACACCTCGGCCTTTTTAGACATGCGACCACCTCAGCATCGGCAGCAGACTTGCGTTCTCGGAAACGGAGCGGTGAGGAAAGGTTCACCGCTTGCTGGGAAGAGCTCATGCTGATACGGCTCTATTTTCTGATATGTCGGGCGTCGTCGGCCCGTCCGTTCCCGACAGTTAGAGACCGCCGCTGTGTTTTCGAATTCATTGGCTTCTCTCTGTATGTCCCTTCAACACGCCTTCCCTCGCTGGTGGTGGGTAGGCCTGATCGTGTTGGCCAGCTGGTTGGTGGAAGCGTAGAAGTCCTTCGAGAAGTAGCGGGCGGGGCCGCTGCGTAAAGGAAAGTGGTTGATTTTTTTTTGTCACATCTTGTTACAAAAGCCCCGTCTCCATCCATGGTGCATTGCTTTTCCATGGCGCGCCGTCACCGCCGTGGCTGATCGATCTTGTTGATTGCTTGATGGCCAGTTGGCTTGTGATTTCTCTTCGCCGACTTAAGCAGTGGTTCATGCTGGCGTAGGAGCCAAAGCCACACAACGTATACCCAAGCGCCTCGTTGAACATTCATCCCTGCAGTTGCTCGTGTTTTCTTTTTCTGCCCGTTCGTGAAAAGCTAGAACGGAAAGAACAAATGACACCAAAACCCACACACACGCATACCAGTCCCATCCATGTTACTACTTCTTATTGTGCAGCCGAGACGGCGATACTGTTGGTTTGGATTTGGTGTTTGTTGGCAAGAATCGAACAACCTGCAATTATTGTCATGGCCCCCATGATTAATTTCCCTTGCATGCTGCCGCGTCCACCGCCTCATTTCCTCCTCACTCAGCAGCAGCAGCAGCAGTACGAACCGCAGAAGCAGCCGGCGGCGACTGAGCCACGGCGGCAGGCGCTGCCAAGCGGCAACAACGAAGAGTTCAAGAGCGGCGAAGTAGGAGGAAAACAAAACCCCACCAACGCCGCTGCTGCTTCTACCGCTGCCGTCAAGGACAACAACGACGTCTCGGAGGAGGAGGAGGAGGGTGCCGCCGCGGCGCTTGCCGCGAAGCAAACCCCCACACGGGCAGAGGTTGCGGTGGAGCAGGCGAACAACAACAACCCGGCCGCCCCTGCCGCCGCCGCCTCGGCTCCCAAGTGGGTCCGCGTCGGCGAGAAGGTGTGCTTTTCGACCATCGTGGCCGCCGTGCTCATCCCTTCCTCTCACGACCTCACCGTCGCCACCAAGCGCGAGCTCTGGTGAGTGTGCGGCTGGTGATCTAACACCGGGGCTTGGGCGATGTACGTACCCGTAGCAGACAAGGAGACAAGAAGCGTGATTGTTGGTGGTTCGTCTGCCTGGCAGCGTGCGGATGGGGTATTCCGTGTTTTTGTGGTTTTTTGCTGCCTCAACCGAAAAAAAATCCTTCTCCAAACTTCCGGCGCCTCGAAGGCATATGGATCTTTGTGTGAGAATACACACACGCTAGAGGGCAGCAGCGTCACGGGTATGTCGCTCGATCTCTCGAACACAGAATATATACCAAACAACAGCAAAGTGACGCGTCTACGTAGAATACGTTCATGAATACAAGTGCATGTGCACCGCCCCCCTTCGGCCTAGCGATGCGTGCGTTGCAGCGAGAGATATCTCTGTTGTTTAATTTAATGCATCTAGGCTATGCACCTCTGTCGGCCGGCGTCTTCTTTTTCTCCATGCGCACAAATCAAGTTGAATCCTGTGGTGCAATCCCAGCAGCAGTCATTCACGTACTTGTACAAGTAGGCGAGAATGAGGCAAGCGTCGCCATGCTTCTTATATATCACCGGCTAGTGAGGTTACCGTGACACTTACAACAATTGACACGTCTGCACTGATATGTACCACCGGCACCACACCACCACACATATCTCAGGCAGGAACCACAGGAGGGGGTCCATCCCCCCACCTCCTATGTGACCCCGGTTAGGTCGTATAGCTCGTAGAAGTGGAGGATGGGGGCCAGAGGGGCAGACGACTAGAGTCCAATGATGGTAGAAAAAAAATAAAAAAATACGTACCTTGCTTCTCTCGGTTGTCCCCCAACATTTTTAATGTGAAGACAACAACAACAACCATCAATCGCCCGGCCTTTTGTGCTCTCATGGTGGTAGATTTTTTACCGGAAACAGCTCGGTCGCCCCGGTAGTCTATGGTTGTGATTGTAGCCGGGATCAGGGATTCGAACCCCGGCGTAGCGACCTTTCGCTTGCAATGTGCGTTCTCTCTTCCTTCCTGGTCTGGATGGAAACGCTATTGCCGTTAAATAGTTCGTTCGTGTGCAAGAGTGCTGCAATATGTATTCTCGCCTGAAGTAAAACAAGGGGCAACGCACCGCGGGAGGGGTGGGTACCCTTGTGTGTGACCACGGGTGGGAGTAAACGGGACAAGTGCTGTGAGCGCTGACTTTGAATGACGACAAATAAATGTATGCGTAAACAAAAAGAATCAGGGCAAGGTTAGCTTCCATCTATAAATGTGAAGACAACAACAACATAAAAGTGGTTGATGTTCGATGTATTGTTGATAAATAATCCTCTCCAAGTGTGAGTAATAATAAGGGCGAGGTTAACTTTTCCATCACCGTGGTTGATGTTGGATATTTTGTTGATGATCGTTCGGAAAAGAAGGCCTCGGACTCGGTTCGTTGCCTTGGTGTGCACGAAATATGTTGATTGGTGGAACGAGCCGTGTGGCGCCGTCTTATTTCCGCAGAATGCACTCGCGCCCAGTGAACAGACGGTCAACAATAAGCCAGGCCCCCCCAAAGACGTAACTCAGCAATGAGTCACATGCACTGCCACCCATGCAACAAATTGGTCAATAAATTTGATGTAAATGCGTAATGCACCGTATGCAACACTTCCACGCAACAAAAAAAATTGTTATCATACAACAGGCAATAGTCCACACGGATGGAGGGTCGTTTGCCAGTTGTGAAAGGTCCGAAGCAAGGGTCGCGCGCCATGCCCGGTGGTCTGGTGGTCTGTTGTTGCACCCATGCATACCATACAAGGAATGATATCCCCGTTGGAAGAGATACGCGCATGTTCCAAGCATGCTTCATAGGGTGCAAGCAGTTACATTGCGGGAACAACGTGGCAGTGCTGAATTGAGTCGAGTCGGTTCAGGATGTGTTGACCAAGTATGCCGAAGAACCCGTGATGCCAGCCAGAGCCATACCACCTGTGAAGAGGTACGGTGTTCCGAAGAAACCGTTTTGACATCCTGCTGAAGTCTCTGCATTTAGACGTGCCTATATAGACGAGAATTCCAAAATGCGATGGAACCACCCTCAGTTTCCCGCATTTTTGTGTCTGTCCGGTGTCCGTCGGCCGCCGAACTTGCTGATGCATGTCCTGCGCGTTAGGCTTATCCTGTCGCTGCCCCCGCCCCCCACCCCCCCCCCGCGGTCCGTCAGGTGGCAGCCCACGGACTACGCTGAATTCCGCGTGAACTACGCCACGCACATGCACAACCCGTCCATCGAGCTCGAGGAGCAAGAGAGGGAGGAAACGATGGGCCCCGCGCCGGCGGTCCCCACCACCGCCAACGCCGACACGCCGGCCTCTACCGCTACCGTGGAAGGAGTCCTTGTTGTCGCTGCTTCCCCCGCCCCTGCTCCTCTAGCGGCCCGCCCCGTGAACCCTCTCGAGGCGACGGCTGGCGCCAGCGGACGGCGGCACGGTAACGGTGGCGGCGGTGGCAACCATAAGGTCGGCATCGGCGCCGGCGGCGGAGCGGCTGCCCCCAGCCAGGAGCGCGTGTCGAAGCCGTACCGCCAGGAGAGGGTGAGGAAGAAAGAGGCGACGTTTGCGTGGATTTTGCTTCTGTAGCCGTTACGGCAGGAGAGGGAGCGTACTATTTACTGCTGCGTATACAGTAGCGTGACGGTCGCCGCCTGCGGGAGAAAGCTTGCACTACTACGCACGTCTCCCGGCGTGCTGGTTGTCGTGTAGTGTCACACGCCCTGTTATTGTTTGTTCCCTTCTGCATCTTATTCCCCTTAACAACCCACCCGCTATTTCTTGCCGACATCCTCGCTGTGTATTGCTGACATTGACCGTCAGAACCAGCGTCCCCGGTCTTCGGCTGGCCCCCACCGTTCGCAGCAGCAGCAGCAGCAGCAGCAGCACAAGAGCCCACCGGCTGGGCCTCGCCGCGTAAGCGGGCCAGCGGGCTACCCGCAGCAGCAGCAGCAGCAGCAGGTTTCTCCGCACCACGCCTCTCACATGCGCCAGCAGTACCACAACGTTCACCCCCAGCAGCAGCCGGTGATGATGATGCGCGGACACCCCGGGTATGGAAACGGTCATGCCGCCGCCGCCGGCCTTGGACGCCGCGACGCCCGCCACGACCGCTACCTTGCCCCGCGCGGGGTCAACATGAACAACGCCCACCACCACCACGACGGCGCCGCCGCCCGCCATGGGCAGCAGCAGCAGTTCTTCGTCAACGGCAACCCCTCCGGCGTGAACTGCCCGCCGCCGCAGCAGCAGCAGCAGCGGATGAGCCCCCCCGCCTTCCGCGGAGTCAACGCCAACGGCCCCGTGGTGCAGGCGTTCTTGCCGCACCAGGCGCCGGGAGGGGTTCGGGGCGGCGTGGCTATGGCTCCCGCCACCCCCGCCTTCCCGTCGCGCGGAGGGATGATGGCTTCCCCCCCTCACTCCGCCGTAGCAGCAGGCGTTGTTGGCAACGGTAACCCCTCGTCGCAGTTCAGCATGTGGCGCAGCCAGCTCGTGTTCGCCCCCGCCATGCAGATGCAATGAGGATAAGTGGACCGGAAAGTGAGTTATGGTGGTTTGGGGGGCGGTGTCCACGACACGCAACTTTCTCTTGGGTGATGGATGATGTGTTTTGAACGGCGCGTTCTGTGGTGTGGCGTGCTTGTTGCGTGCGTGGCGTTGTCCCCTGCTAGAAATATTAGGGTGGACTTGGTCTGCGCGCTCGATGATGATGATGCCACCCCGACACGCGTGCGTAGTCGGGGTTTTTGTACATGCGAAGAAGGTGAATGCATCCCAGGAGGAGAGGGCTGCGCGTTGTTCAGTCCGGCTATTAAAAAAATCAGAAAATCGTGTGCGGAGGGGTGGAGGGAGAAAGAACGGCACATGGATTGTGGTGGTGCGTCCATTTTTTCTGTCATGTTGTGTGTGGTTTCCGGCCAGGTTGGCTGTTTCGTAACTGAGCAGGAGGAAAATACTGCTGTGTTGTTCTGGTAATGATTTCGGGCGTGTGTGTTTGCTCGGAGGGGTTTACGGAATCCAGTTTCGAAACCGTTGAGAACGGTCGACGACCTTTGTTTTCTGCGTCTGTTTTGGACCCCTGTGTTTGATTTTTTGTTTTTTACCTGTGTTTGTGAGTCTTCTAGGTTATCTCGGTTGCTCCAAATTATTTTTTTGCGATTTCGGCGACCAATTTTTTTTTTGATGTACATTATTGATTTCGCCATCTAGTTCCTTCTTCAGGATCAGTTGCGCGAACGCTGCTGTTGTGTTCCTGTGTTCTTTGTTGTATGGATACCCGGGTTTCTGTTTTTGTGGTGGACTTTCTCCCCCCCCCCCCCCCGCGTCCTTAAAC